ATCTCGGGGCCGACAGCGTCCACTGCCGACATCTGGCCAGTGCAGTAGCGGGTCAGGCCCCAGGCCGGCTTGGCCGGGTTGGCGCAAGCCGCTACGATGCATGCCATGCGCCGGCATATCGCCTCGATGCAGAACAGCCCGCCGATGTTGACCTGGTCTAACGCGCCGCCGAGCCAGAGGGGCCCCGCGAGGGCGCGCAGCTCATGCGCGACCCTGTCTGTCGAGGCGATCCCTTTCTCACGCAGCCATTCTCGCAACCACGGGCGAGGGTCGCCTCCTGTCTGTAGCGTCCGCTTCCCCATCGGCAACGCGACCGGAGGGCCCTCCATGCGCTGCGTCTCGTAGGCCTTGCTGCTGCTCTCCTGCGCCACTTGCTTCAATGGCTTGTAGCGTTCGCCCTGGCCGTCGCAATCGATCACCAGGGCCCTCAGGTCGCCTGTCTCGACAGCCCATTCGGCAGCGGGGGGTGCTGGGGGAGTAGCCGTTCCGCCGACGGCCTCTGGGAGAGCCCTCCCGAGCCTGTCGCGGAGGTCGGACTCGTCAACGCCCGGCCCCCCCCCGATGATACCCAGGCCGTCCTTCAGCTCGTCACAGCGGTGCTTCGCAAAGCCGGGGGCCGCCTGGGGCGCCATGCACTCGACGCGCCGCCAGTGGTCATCTAGCTTCACCAGCCCGTCAAGACCACCTGGCGCTAGGAGCACCTTCGCCCCGGCCTCGATCTCTGTTCCGATGGCGCGCCGATCGGTAGGCTCCGTTAGCAACCAGAGATAGTCCTCACCCACTGCTGTGGCCTCCACCTCTCGAAGCTGATCGGGAGGGGGCTCCGCAAACGGCGCCGGCGGCGGGGCCCGGCCGGCCGCCGGCCCAACTCAGGGCCCAGCGGCACGTCGCGCCGAGGCTGCCGCGGCCGCCTTGGGGGACGCCTTCCCAAGCATCCGACGTGTCACCAAGACCTCCGGCGCGAAGACCTCCAGACTCCAGCGGCACTCGCTCACAGGAGGGGGTTAGCACCATCGACACTTCGGGCGCCTCCCGGCCGAGCTCGGCACGAACCACCGCTCGACCGTCTCGTATCAGCTCTTTCAGGGCGTCGGCTCTGGGGTGGTCGCGGAAGCGATAGACCCTCACTGGGAACTCGTCTGGCACCGTCCCGACATCGTCAAGAGGATTCGTGTCCAGCACTCCCCAGTCAAAATTCTTCGTCACTGGCTCTACGTAGACGTCGCCATCCAGGGCGAGGATGCACCACATCTTCTCGTCCACGGGCCACAACAACAGCCTCTCATGAGCCACAGTGTCGCCCTCGAACGTCGTCACGATGAGGGCCCCTGGGACCAAATCGCGCCACCACGCCGCCCCCGCGTCGCGTCGGAGCAGCGCCATGGACACGTCGGGGCTGGCCGCACCGGGTCTCCACGAAGCGCCAGAACTGCTGGACCGCGAAGGCGGCGCACGCACCCGCTCCGGCAAACTGCCACGGGTCAGGCTCCGCCGCGCACGGCGGCTCCGCTGGACAAGGCAGGCTGTTCACGTCCGGGCAGGCCCCGCAGACGATCTCAGGACACGCCTCCTGTTCGTGTCCCTCCGCAGTCGCCGCGGGCTCTGGGGACCACCGCGCTGACAAAAGTCTCCGCGCCAGCTGGCCCGCCTCCACGGCGAGGATGGCCCACACGGAATACAAAGCGCGCTCGGCCTGCTCCGCAGGCACGATCTCGCCCATGCGCCCGGGGAGCCCTTTGAGCACAAAAACAAAGGGCTACGGAGAGAAGCTGTAGCGACAATGGGATAAGCCTCTGTCGACCTTCGATGCAAGCACAGACAGTTATGCGCGTCTTTCTGTAGCGACAAGCGATAAACCAATTTCGACCTTCACGCGCAAGCGCAAACATAAAAACATGTGTTTCCTGTGGAAATCACACGCGCTCCATTTTGTCATAACTGCTCCTTGTCATACTATATGTACAACGATGTTATGTTGCGCGCGGTAGCTGTGGTGCACACCGGCGCCGTAGTGTACGCAGACGCTGTGGTGCACGCGCGAACTGTGGTGTACACTGGTTCTGTGTTGCACACTGCTGTTGTGGTGTACGCAACTGTTGTGGTGCGCGCAAGCGCTATGGTGCACGCAGGCACTGTGGTGCACATTGGCGCTGTGTTGCCCGCAGCTGCTGCGGTGTACATTAGCGGCGTGGTGTATACAAACGTTGTGGTGCAAATCGACACCCACATGCTGCTGCTACCCGTCCCCGGTCATTCCTAGGCATTCCCAGACGCCGCCGGCGAAAAACGTGATGTCATCGGCCGCCTCCCGACGCCCGCAAAATGACGGCCGCGATCGGCCCGGAATAAAAAACCAAGCTCCAGAATGCCGACGTCCCCGCCGCCCCCCTAACTCTTATCAGCAACTGAGGGTTGGTACGAACCACTCCAACTCTCCAAACGACCGCCATCCAATCGGAACGGCGACACAAAGCCCCAATGCATGACGCCAGTTCGCCAAGCACGCGATTTCACATATGCCAGAATTTCTATCATTAAGTTATATGATTCCGTAATGACTAAAACGTCGTTTCGGAATTTGCGGAATTATGAGTTGTCTTAAAACTACAACAAATTCAAAATTTTGCAATTTCTGGAACCACGTTCTTGGCGATATGGGAATTCTGGAATCACGCTTTCGGAATTTCCAAAATTGCTTGTTTGGTGACCGGACGTCTTGGAACAGATGTTCGTGCTGTTGTTCACATAGAACTGCGGTCGTTGCGTAAAGTTGAAATCAGGAATCTTGACGTTGTTTGAGGCGTCGGCGCAAAGCGAGCGCTGTTGGAATCGGGATGCAACGCTCTTGCGACTATCGTAGAGTACATCACCTTTTGTCAGCATTGGTACCACATCCATTAAACCACACTCCCTTCCTCCAACCTCCAGACTTACTCCCATGACCGCTGTCCCACTACGTACCTGCCAAACTTGGCATAACTTGTCATGAGAAAACGGAGAATAAGCTCAGGGAGAGGGACACCTGAGAGATGAAGGCAAAAGGGGCGAGACCAGGGGATGAGAGCATGAGGGCGGGAGAAGCGGATGTGGAGGTGGGAGGGGAGGAGGAGGAGGAGGAGGAAAAGGGGAAAAAGGACCAGTGTAAACCCAAGATTCACCAATGATGTTGGAATAAGCCTTGTCTCCAAGCTCCCTTGTCATGCGACCCTACAAAGGTTCATTTCCACTGAGGGAAACGGCCCGTTGGGAGACAACCGTTTGAAGATGATGAAGCGCCTTGTGGGCCCCAGAAACGGCAGGGCCGTTTCTTCACCGTTTCCAAACAAATGTCCCTTGAACATGGAAGCGGCAAAAAAACGGCGACCGGAAACGGCAAAAAAACGGATCCAGGATCGGAACGGGAGCCGGAACCGGTCAAACAACTGCGACGGAAAAAGGTAAACAAACGGCGTCGGAACCGGCAAAAAAACGGCAAAGCGGAACCGGTCAAAAAACAGCCTTGTCATTTCCAGGGTCCACTAAGGTGAAGCGCGCCAAGACACCAATCTCGGGACTTCAACGCCACAAACCAATTTGGCTGTTGTTGGGGATGTTGAATCTTGACAGAACACTGTCCTTGTGATTTCTCAACGCCACGAACTGACATCCTGAATCGTTGCAGAACATCATTGTTGGCACTTCAACCATAGAGATCCGTGACCCGCTTGCAAATGATCAAAACGAATGTGAGAAAGCGAAAAACGCATTTGAAAAGGAGCCGCCCTCGATTCATGAAACTCATGCAATGTTACAACAAACGTGCGCGGCGCTAAAACGAAAAAGCCATGTTGAAAACCAACCGCCCTCAATCCGCGAAACTCCTGCACTTTGTCATTAAGACTCTGCACGGCGGAATCACATGTGAATACCACCCGCATTCAATCCGTGAAACCCATGCAGCTGCTTAGGCGAATGTGCGCTGAACCAAGGCGAGAGCCACATGTTGAAAACGGCCCGCCCTCCGTCTGCGAAGCTGCTGTCATTTCTAAACTTCAGTGTCACAATATGGTAAAGAATTCTCAAGCGAAGCGCCTGGCCCGCCCTTCCGACAGCCTCGGGGTGGCGAGGCGAGGCGAGCGCGCGAGATCGGTCCGGCGGGACCGGCCCTCATAAGGCGGCGCGGGGGGGCCGGAGCCCTCAGAAAACGCGTCGGGGGAAGGAGGCGGAGCCGGAGCCGGAGTCGGAGAGATGGACTGGAGTCGGAGTCGGAGAGGTGTGAACAAGAGTCGGAGAAACGACCAGCGGGCAGAACACGTAACGCTGGACTCGGGGAAGCATTCCAAAACCTACAGGCTGTAGTGGGCGGAGGCGTGTTTGAATAAAAATCACCTTCCAGATCCATCCATAACCGCTCATCTGCTGCAATTGGTAACCGTTGGTTGTTGCGTTCCTGATCGTCGCGGCCTTCACACATGCCCTTGGCGCGTAAGATATGCAGGATGTCGGCTACCCATCGCTTTCGTTGACCTCCGTGCCGCCGGTGCGCTAGGCGCGGGTCATGTGAGCGCGGCTCCCATGAGGCAGCTAAGAAAGTCCACCTGTCGCAATCGTGTGTCGCCACACGGATGCCCACTTCAATTTCCGTTCGAAATATAGAACAACCCATTCTGCCACCTGGGCTCGGGAAGCATGGTCCGTGGCTTCGCGCGTGCCTCGTCGAATGTAGTCGGCCCGTGATTCCTTTCCGTCAATATTCCTCTCGTCGCTGTTGCTGGCTGTGTAATTCGGGTTGTTTGCTGCGTCGGCGTCGGTCATGTTGTGGTGGCGGTCGTCGTCGGAGGTGTCGGGCGCGTGCTGGTGTTGTTCGTTGCGCGTCCGCGGTACTCCCGTGGCAAGCCTGAGCATTTTCCGTTGGACGCACCTGAGAATAAGAAGCATCTCCTTCGTCGTAATGCCATTGAACAACCTCAATGTACTATGGAGCGGGAAGCGTTTGTTGGTCAATTCGTAACGAAGCTGATTGAAACGGGCCCACCCTGCGGCAATCCTGTTGTGCAGTTCTGCGTCATGAAATTTGTGAATAGTGATTTTTTTCCCTAGTACTTCATTCCGCGGCTGGAATGTAGGATGCTGATGTTGTCGCCGTTGATGTCGACATGGGTGATTGTTCTCCCCTCTCTCTGGCTAGCGTTCGTCAGGGTCTTCGTATTTTCTGGATGTAGTAACAGACCACATTTAGCTGCGTGGGTTTGTACGTCACGAAGTAAGCAGGTGAGCAGTCTTAGGTTGGTGGCGTACAACAACACGTCGCCGGCGAAACGCAGATTTGTAATCCGCGCTTGTGCTGAGAAGCCAAAGTGGGTCCCGACTTTCTTCCGTGACCTAACAAAATTCACTTGTCTGAACACGTGCTCTAAGACGGCGTTGAGAAAGAAAGAGCTCAGCGGGTCTCCCTGTTTAACGCTCCGTTCGATGTTGAAGGCTCTGCTTTTGGTATCCGTCCGAACTGTACCAGCTTGCGTGCTATATAATGTTGCAGGAAGGTGATGTAGGCGGGAGGTATATGTTGATGTCGTAGAGCGTCTCACATACAGTCGTGGTCAACGCAGTCAAACGCTGTCTTGAAATCTGATGCGGCGGCCCAGAGCGGCAGCTGCAATCCGCGAGAGCTCTCATGAAGCAATGTTGTGGTGAACAAGTGGTCCTGTGCAATAGTTCTTGCGGAAACCTGCTTGGTCTGGGCATTGCTGCGAGCCGAACAGGACGCTGAGCCGGGTGCAAAAGAGGCGAGACATCAGCCAATACAGCAAAGGGATGACGGCAATTGGTCTGTAATTGCCCTGTTGTGTGGGGTCACCAGACTTGTGCATTGCAATGATGGCGGTGCTCTTCCACTGGTCTGGCGGGGGGCGATCAGGCTTGATGATGTCGTTGTATAGTCGAAGTAGATGGCATTGTAAAATGGTGCCTCCGGCTTTGAGCATTTCTGCCGTGAAGCCCAGCGGTGTCGGTGCACCTGCGGTTCTTGAGTTTTGATTGCTTGGTGGAGCTCGCATGCTGTGAAAAACGGGATGGTCGCGTCGTCGTGCGTCTGCGCGTGGGTGTTGCCGGTGCTGGCTGCGCGGTGCGGGTCCTTGTACAGGTTCTCGTAAAAAAGTGGCGAATAAGTCTGCTATGCTTTATCTATCTGTCTCGTCGATACCTTCAGCTGTGGTCATTGATGGGATCATACTTTTGCGCTTGCTGGTTTTTTAAACCCATATAATTTCCTTTGGATTGGCAGACAATCTCGTCGACCTCGGCATTCATCTCGGCACGCTTGATAGCCCTTGTCAGTCGAAAGATTTGCTTGCCAAGGGATCTTCGTGCAGTTGTGCCTCGTGGTGCGGTTGCGCGTCTTTGTTGGATAATGGCCATGAGCCGTGCTGTCGGTCCGTCGTTGGCGCGTCCTCGAAGGTCTCCGGCTGATTGCTCTTGGTGTTCCTGGTAATTTTTGCTTGCAAGCTTGAGCCCTTCACCAATGTCATGGCACCTACTCTCCAAGTCGGCATCGTGGTTGTGGTCGCTCAAATGCTGTTGCAAACATTGCTGGAAAAATAGGTCGTCGGCTGGGGGATGGGATCGCGTGCCGCGGTGCGGTTGCTTCCGTTTCCTCTTTCTTTTCGTCGTGGCCTCAAGGTCCATCTTGACGTGCACAGCTTGGTGATCGGATCCGAGGTCTGGAACGTTGGAGGCGTACGA